GATCGGTGCACGTTTAAGGTTTTGATTGCAATCTGTTTGTCTCTCACTAGCAATTACTATTGCTACCTTCACTACTACGGTCTCATCCGGAGGCAAATCGACCACCACAAACACGTAGGTGTTTTATCACCTTGCATGAGTGGCATTGAATAAAATTCAGTTTGCTTTCTTATCTAATTTTATTCCCTTCTTCCCACTTCTATGTGTCGCTTATGTAACACGTGGAAGCACACAAAATGGGGTGCGTCATCACATATGTATTGTGCTTGTGTCAGTTTCTAAGGCGTGAATTCGACCTTAATGATCCGTAGATGGCTTAGTTGATGCCAATTGGGTTTACAATTACTGTAACGATGTTTGCGCGGCTTGTTTATTCCTACGCCAATGTATTTGGCCTGCCGTTCTTCAGGGCTCTTAGCAGAATAGGCCATTGTTTGAATACCAGTTCCCAGCCAGTGCACGTAAGCCAAATGACTTGCCAAATCAGCGCGGCTGCTGACTGCGTAATTGCTGTAACCCCATGTTTCTAAGCCATAAATCAGTAGTCATAATCTCGTGACTAGGGTTATGTTCTGCTTCTCAAGGCAGGAGGTTTAGCAATATCAATTAAGAAAACTTGAAAATATTCAGCAAAATTTGAAATTGCCAATTAATGATTTCTTTCGTAGTGATTTATCTCGGTACTTCATTTTCCCACTCTTTCCTGTTTCCCATAGTGGATGCGGTAAAACAGTAATTCCCTTCTACTTCAAATGTGTGTGCTGCGCCCTGTGGGCAGTTAATCGTTCGGAGATGGCTAATGATACGTCGACACGCTTCATGAACGTTGGAATGCGAAAGCCATTCCTCATCACAAGTCAGCCTAACAGCAGCCAGCCCATAAATTGCAAAGCGACCTATTGCAGGAAAAAAATATATCGAAGATGGCGGATATCTTTTTGGTCGTTTGATATCCAGGCATGGGTAGCTGACACGCCATAAGTTGTCAGTGAGAGGACATCACCTTCGAACACGCATGCTTAATAAAGATGATGTGTCGAGCACATCAATCCTCACGTGGTTCCTACTTGTATCCCGCCACATTTGGGACTAGTTGAGCTTGAAGTAGGACCATCAGTTAACAAGATGACACTTGGTTCTTTGGGACTTTGGGTGAAAGAACGTTTATAAATCTCCAGGCCATGAACCGAGCTCGGTGAGGTGATCAAAGTAGTGATGAACGGGAAAACCTGACCATAATTTACGATCACTTCATTGTGTCGGGTGTCCTTATAAATATGATTAAATGGCGGAAAATGTTATGAGTTTGTTACATGATATCTCACTTGTAACTGAGCACTAGAACTGCCTTTTATTGTTAGCTTGTGAGAGCAAATGTTTTTTTCCACGCACCCGTTTTGATCCAAATTTAAGCAGCTATAAAACCTTCTAATTACACCGAATATTAGCTCTACATATAATTATTTAGAGGATAGTACATTTTGAAGGATAACAACGCCGGAATCATCTGACATAGGTAGTGTTTAAGTACACCACCTCTTAGATTGTCTCAAGTACAATTTTAACGGTGCAAACGGTCTCTACTTCCTTGATGGGAAGCCTCATTCTTATGGTCGGTTAATGGGTAAATGTCTGGTATTTAAAAAGAGTCCCATTAAATAGCTTGCTTTAGTAAAAACAAATCGGTTTTGATCATTTAGTTCACTTGCGCTTTTGTGAAAGCTTCTTGGCAAGTTTTGCCAATAACATTCAGTAGAAAGTTCTTTCGTGCATTCAGTACTTTTCGATAGCACAGGACTGCCATGCTTATTTGCACTGCATTGTCCTAATGTACACTCACGCCATGCGCACATGTCATCTGCCGGCCCAGACAAGCTTGACCAGGATGACAAAGAGCAGTGTTGATGATTGCTTGAGTGCATTAGCACGTGAAGTGTGATGAACCTAGTCTCCTCCAAGTCAAAGTGTCAAACACGAGCCTTCGGATACCTTCTCCTATTCGCATTTGCTCGGAATAGTGTGCACACTTCAAAGACGATCGCACGTCTGTACTTTGATGTCTTTTGGTGTCCCAACCCAGATGACGCGGTAAATCTTCATCCTGCATGCGAGTTTGACCTGCAGCTTGTCATAAGTGAAGATTTCACAAGTGATGCACCTTTCTGTGGAAACAATGGCCACATCATAACGTAATCAGTCAAGAATACTTGCGATTTCCGAAAATTTGACATTTGTCTCCTTTTGATTAGTGGAAAAGATTTTGTCCCTGCCCTAATTCGAAGGAGCGTGTTGACAAGGAAAACCACAGTTTACTGGATCCCATTATCTCCTACAAAGAAACCCAGATGCATAGTCTCTCTCTGGTGGACTCACCATCAGTATAGTGTTTTCAGATTAATCATTTATACTGAGAAATTTTTCTGCATCAAAGCTTTCTCTGCATTGCTAACATTGTAAGCCTAACTAGTAGGCGCACGCAGCAATTATTCGCTGTTGTGGAACATAATAATGCGTAATTTGCACTATTAGCAGTGCTTTTTGTAAGCAAGCCACAGCAATCGCTGTCTGTTTAACTCCCAGTTCTACACTTCGACACTAATGAACTCACCATCAAGATCTTGAAAGCTGCCCAACTTTCAGTCTCTGATTGTGATAACCATGCAAATGCAATAAAAGGTAAAAATCTACCCGAACGGTTCGTCAAACTGATCCTTGATTCATATTTAACAAGGCCCCTTTATTTAGTTGTTCAATATTCAAAACCGTTTAAGGTCTGCCTCTTAGAATAGTAAACAGCGTTAATTTTAAATATTTTTGGTCGCAAAATCGCATTTACTATTTGCATTAATAAAGTTAAACAGCTTGCTGTAAGACAATATTAGTCCTTACTTATGCTGAGATACAGTATTTACTTTTCAAATGGATCACTACTAGCCATTTCATTTTTTACCGCATCAGCACCTAATTTAACGGTTTAAAATGGATGCTGTTGGCGCAATTCCGGATTTAAGACGAATATGGTGTGTGGAAGTCTGATAACTGAACCTTAGACTCTCATAGAGTGTTGCTGAAATAGGCAGCCTATAATTTTAAATAATTGAGATAGTTTGAACAAAATCCGGAAAAAACTGAAAGTTTACTGAGATGAAACAGAGCTGGACTTAGTATGAATAATCAACGGAATTTTACTATTTGTTAGTAAAAAACGGGTGAATCTGTATTTTAGTATATTCCATTGAAGTAGTAAAGATGTACATAGTCTTAGATGGATTCCCATTTGGAGTCTGATGAGAGCAAAATACTATATTCCTAATAGCAATCAAAGAACTTGGGCTCAAATCAAAGACATAATCGGACTATTCTTATTTCTCCGAGCTCCAACCATGCCAAGCTGCCCACACATCTAAGATATAAACAAGCGGTTGTCCTGTAATGCGAACGCATAAATGGAATCAATGCAATTTGGCATTGAGTAGACAGTGCTGGTTACAAAATCTCACGGTAAGGATTGACATTGTGTTCTTTTACTGTGCAAGCCAAATCCATCACAAATAGGCAAACAATATTTGATGACATGTAAGCTAGCTTGAAAAATGTCACCTCTATATGCATTGCCTCATCTTCGTTCACTTGTGCTGCATGGAAAGTTATATCTAACTGATTTATAACACGAAAAACTCGGATGAATAGGGTTTGCCTTCGATCAAATTGTCTACCTACTAGATGATTGCAGGATGTGCTACGATACCAGTCAGAAATGAAGTTGGCTTGGCGAATTGCTGGGCTGGATGCAAATATTTCCATGCACTGGGTAATTTTAATGGGCTAAATCCCACTCTTTTTTCACGATATAGCCTCTGAATAACACTTGACGCCTCCACCTAAGTAAAAATAAGGGAATTAGATGAAAGTGTGGATGCATTTGCAATCTAGAGCATAAAAGGTTGGCTGCAGATTTGGCGGGCAATGAGGCTTCAGTTATATTTTTAAGTCTACTTCACTTTTCTCCTGCAGGCGGGTGTTGGAATCCGAGTTCAAATTCTAGAATGTAGAATAAATGATCTTTACTTGTGGAATGAATCACAACAACTTTAGGTGGTGAAAATCTGACTTAATGAATAGGTACGTCTCATGCCTTGCTGTAGGTGCTGGACGAATCGTTGCTTGACTATTGACGATTATGAGTAAGATGGCATCTTTGGTTGAGAAAATGAACAGAAGTTTTGCACAACGCTTTAACACATAAAATTAGTGATTGAAATCGGAATGATTGTTCGACCTGTGGCATTTTTTTTAGTCTGTGGGTAGTGCTGATGTAGATACACCAAATCGTACCTTCAGACAACACCTAGCAATGCGATGTCGTGAGAGTGACAGTGGCGTTCCCGACAGAGCCTTCAAGGCACAAATGTTCGTGGAATTCATGCCAGCCTGAATTGTGCGAATAACGGTGTCACGCCAACACTTGAACAGAGGAGAGGAAGAGATAAAATCAGAATGTCGGTCTGTGGGACGTTCAAGCAATGAAGGTGGTAATGCAGATGCAGTAGGTCTTACTCCTTTAGTCCCTTGAAATCATAAGAAAACGCTCTGGGTCAGTATTTAAAATAGGGCCAGATCAGTGGTTGTAGAAGCTGAAAACGATATTTGCCAGAAGTTAACGCCACTGGGAAACCGAATGGGTACAATTGATGCATAAATGGGGAATGCAAAGGCAAATGCAGAGAAGCACATGCCGTGATTAGGCAGACGACAGTATAGGAATCATCTCTTTGCACGACTATCTCCATTAGAACAGCCTCTCAATGGCATAAAAGCGAAAGTAGTTATCATGTGACTTTACCAATTGGCACGGCTCCTCTATCCAAGTTGGTCAAAGTGGGAAGGAGGCGCTCAAGTATCAACAGCTGGTATGAGAAGAAATTTCCATAGACTATTAGTCTAGACGGTCAAGCCTGACGGCCAATCGAGAAAAACCTAAAAGAAGATGCAATTAAGCAACAACCTAAAATGGTCAACACAGTCTGCGTCTCGGAAAGCATCTGGTCTGGTAGCAAATTCAGTCAAATCTCCTCCATCTAAGCATTATAATCGACCAAAGTGGATTAGTGTACTATACGTCCCAGAGCACCGATACTAGCAATGCACTTAGCTAGGCTCTCTTCACGTCATGATGCGGTAAAATTGGCAAGTGAATTGTATGCACTTAAAATCTGCTGCATAAAATCACTGTATAAAAAGTAAAAATGTAATTTTTATCTCTAGCAACTGATTTTCTTCACCACAACTTCTTCTAGGCTTCAACAGCTACCAGAATGCATCCATCGACAATCAACTGGTGATAAACAAACGTGACTCCTTGAGAAAGCAACAGCTCTCTTGAGTAGTTTTATAGCTGGTTGGCAATGTAATGAGCAGTAGAAAGATTCACATGATAAAGTGCCATACAACGATGTAATGGTAAACTCCACGGTCAAAAATCGTAATGATGAAGAATCGACATGACGTACGTCCATCTAACGTTTACGCCTGTATTTACAATACACTTCTTTGTCCCCTTTTTTGCGCGCAGCTACCAAGTGTTACCCACTTATCAACGTGGCAGACATTGTCTTCATTTCAGTGATAATGAGAAGCCATAATTATAGCCAAGGTACAAAAAAACAACTTTATAGAGGACATTTCTGGAGTATTTACCGCACTTTATCCCTAATTTTTTTAGCATCACTTCGATCAAATATTAATTGCCGCATCCATTAAAAGCAGCAGTAGATTCTGCACCACTTTCTACTCCTTACCAGGTAGAAGGTTTGCCTGACCCTGCGCATTAGCACGTTATCGCTCTAATCAAATTAATGGACTTGCTAAATCAATGGCCATTGAAGTGGTCTTACATCTTTTGCACATTTGAAGTGTGCCTCGACCCACCAACCTGCACCGTCTCCCGAAAAGCACTCTTCTTCAACCTCTCCAACGCTCAGCTGGAGAGATTCAGTGCAACTATCCGAAATGGATGCATGTGATCAATGTATGAAAAGTGGAGCCTTTCACCTGACCTTCTATCTACAGTTGTCTGCGCATTTCAAATGACTGGTCTGCAAAATTGTTTTCACCATTACTAAAAGCAGGGAATTTAAAAGAGTAACCTGTTTCTACAAAGAATTTCTAAAACAACAGCTACTTTTCCGAAGGTTAAATGAAAGTTAGTGATCAAGCAGAATCAGATTACCTCGTGTTGCACTACTTTTCTTAAAACCGAATAATGACTAACTGGGATTCACCAAAGTCTATTACACTAATAGTAAGATAAAGAGCCTTTACTGCTACCCATTAGTTCCTAAGATTCACCAGCTTAAATGCATGATACAGACAGAACACCGAATTAAGCAGAGAAACAATCTAGGTGGATGAATGGACTTACCTTATTGGCTATGACCTTAGTGATATAGAAA